CACATGTAATACACCTGCGGCTTGGCCTGCCTCCCTGGTCATTCCCTTATACATCAGGTTCGAGTGGCCATTTATGGTGCCATCAATTTGGGACCTGATGCCAGCCATCACCTGGTCCATATTGTGGCTGATGACAAGTTTGAGAAGAAGCTGAGGTTCGCAACCAAATGGGCAGCTGGCGAGTTTGTCAAACAAGCCTTGATCTCTGAGGAGCAGAAATTGGTATCACTGCTGAAACTCTGTGACGGTGGACTCAAGGACCTACTGTATGAGACAATTATGCATGCTAAACTGGCGATGGGTGGCAAGTTCAATGTGGTGCTATTGCACCCAAAGACTTTGGAGAGGGGCAACGAGGAGAAGCTGGTCATCCAGGCCTGCAAAAAGGTTCGCTGCTTCAAAGACGACATCAGTGGCATGAACACAGCTAGGAGCGTTTACTTGAAGTCCATTTCCTCCATGTTCCCTGTCATTGACGCTGTTAAGATGCCGGAGCTATACCTCTTTCAGATGTCTATATCAGCTACCAAGGAGATCAATGCTGATGATCTTGAGAACATGTTCGAGCGACTTGGCATCCCTGCTTCAGGCCAGGGGGGCCCCAATCCCAGCCTCTACTTTGTGGTGCATCCTGACGTCTACAACACCTTCAAGGTGCAGGCAGCAATGAAGAAGCAGAAGTCCGGCCGAAGTGACAAGGTGGGAAAGGCTGCCTGGCCGCCCAATCCCAAGCAAGTGTGTGCAGCTAACACCCAGTTGTACATTCTATGTGGCACCTGCTAAGACCTGAACAGCAGCACATGATGCATCCTCACCACAACAGTTGGGCAAAGGGACAGTTTTACATGTGTGAGCTACTGTCCTTAAGACTATAAGCTTATTGGTGCAGTGGTAGCAGCAGAAGTTAGTTAGCAGTTGTGGCTCACTGGAGCTGTCATGAGATGTCCTTGTCCACTGTTGAGTCGTCATGACCACATGCACAGTAGTATGTTGGCAAGGGGCAGGAGTGTAGCAGGGAAAATGTTACTGTCGTTTCCTGTTGTGTACTGCTGCTGCTGCCATTGTTATGCGTTTTATAGTGCCACGTGGGTAGTCAATATTGAAGTGGCGGGAGGGTAAAGGAGTAGGGTAGTGTAGTAGCTGGTCCACAGTATGGCACAAATAACATCTACAAACACGCTGAGCATTCCTCCAGCATCACAAGAGGCCTTTCTGGTGGCCAACTACTACAGGTAGGGAAATGTTTCCAGTTTGTGGGTGATGTGGTCTGTGGACGAGTTCAGATAATTGTTATTGAGAATGGGCTGAAGATGTCTAGATAGATATCTCCTGCTGGGAGGCCCCTTCCCTTGAGCCATGGAGTGCAGATGCTGTCAAATGCTGTATGAGTTCGTCAGACAACCCTTGGGGCTGTTGATAGGCAATTAGGTGCAACTCACCACCAGATGTGCCATGTATGTGTGACTGAGGGAAGTGTTTGCTAGATTTTTGTAGAATGTATTGATGTGTTGGGTTGGGCAGATGATGAGTACATTACATGCAGGTGGTGGCTTCCTTGCTAATGCAGTCGCTTGGAGTGCATAGGTGGGCAGTATCATGGGCTGGCAAATGTCATTTGTCATTTAGCAACACCCCAGCAGGTGGTAAGGGACAACAAGGCGAGATGGAAGGTTTAATTGACACACATTGTGTGACCGCTAAGCACTTGTTTTTAACTGGCAGTGGGCATGTCACTGTTGTTTTGTTAACCTTTCACATGTGGCCACGTTTGAGATTGTATCTTCAGTATCCCTGTGGCAGGATATTGCATTATCCTGGACTTTGGAAGCTCACCTATTTCGATAGTATGCCGAATGCTAACAGCCATGTTGCAACAATTGTGGATATCTGATGTGCATAGTGATCTAAGTCAGTCACTCACTATGACCTGTAACCATACATCCTATCCATCCAGATAGACAATGCTAAGCAAACTGGTCTAAAAATGTGGCTGGTATGTGTGTGTGTGTGTTGCATGTTGCATAGATATGGACATCACCTGCAGGAGCTACAGATCAATAGATACCACCACAGCCAGACCACCATCATTACCACCATGGGTTCCCCCAGCAAAACACCTCTTTGGCAAACCACTGCACACAGCCTGGGCAGTGAAACATGTGTGCAAGAGCTGGCCCTGGGTAAGAGCAGTTGCATGAGCCGTGTTACCCTCAGTAATTGTGGAAATCGAACAACAGGCCCCAGGGGGAAGATAAAATAAAGTAATACCACCCTATCCATGCTCAGCATGTCCTCCACCACCGCCAGCTCCGTGCACACCACCACAATGCCTCCACCTCTGCCTCACCCCAGCCATGTATGGGCCCTACACTGCCAGATCCATGCCGTACACACATACCAAAATGTTTGTCCTGCACACCTGTCAGCAGTCGCAGATCTTGAAGATACCCATGGGCTTCCCCTTAATGCCCCGCTCCAAGGGCTTTTCCCTTCCCACCCCGCACCACACAGGCTTCCCCTTCACAGACCATCTTCATGCCCCTCAACCGCAAACCTAAGTCCACCGAGACCCTCCAACCCAATCTATGCTGTACCTGTGCAAAAAGCATTTGGACTCCTCTCTCATAATGTCGTGGTGCAGCCCCACCATGCAGGCACAAGGACACACAAGCAGACAGACAGAAGGGTAAGCAGGAAGCAGGCAAGATACGGGAATAAGGGGAAAATATGGTTCAACACGATCAGAACATCATACACCAGGACCAGCTGCCGAGCCGCCAACCCAGCTCCCAGGCCACGGGGCCATCTATACCGAACCCCAAAGCCACCCATGGACAGACAGGAAGACAGAAAGCCATACTCTGGCCCCCTGTGCCCCATCCCTCCCCCACCCCTTCCTTCTCCCCCAACTCTCATCGCGGTTCCAAAGCAACAACCACACCACCAGCCGCTGCTGAGTCCTATTTGCTTCCCTCTCCTCGTCCTCGTCCTGGTTCCGTTGACAATGCCCGTGACGTCACCATCACTGGCAGGCCCAGGACAGAGAGTGACAAATGGTCGGCCGCTGCCAGTTCCTCGGTCTGCACCACCACCACCACCACCACCACCACCGCAGCCACAGTCAATGACGATGACACCACGCCAATGCCGTCCTTCCGTTTCAGGGCCAGAGGTCAGCAAACACCACGGGTACCATGGGTCCTTCCGTTGTACCCGTTGCAGAAATTCAACTCTATTCTTCATCACGGGTACGGCAGCCGTACGGCAGGGTGCAGAAATTTCCCCCAAAAGGCAGGTTTGCGCAGTTTTGAAGCTATAAACTTTTAGAGTTTGAGCAGTTAAGTGACGGACTTGATGAACAAACTTCTCCGTAATTGGGCGCAACAAGACAACTGTGGCTTTAACAGCGATGGTGTAACGTAGTAAGTTAGGTACATCGGCCCGCAGACACCCTTTCCTCGGCTTTTACCAAAAAACCTTCCATACAGTTATTCAACCCTGGCACCAGTACCCGTGACAGTTATTCAGGGTTTGCCGACCTCTGTTCGGGGCATGTGGATATCTTTGTACAACAATACGACACTTTGACGTTTGCATGGCCCACAGTCCCGTGTTCCTGCGTCCCATCAACAGTTTTTCCTTCCGAGTGAGTCAAAACGTGTCTGTAAACTCCCCATACATCTCCCACGCCCCCCCCTCCCTGCTCATCCCATGTCAGGTGCTACTTCGTGTTTGAGCCCGAGTGTCGTACATACACTTGGTGGCTGCCTAACTCACGCAGTCTGCCCAACGGAACAATCTTCTGCCTCGCATCCACTAATCCTGAAAACCCAGGGGGGAAGCCGCAGTGTTTGTGTCTGTACTTCCGTAAAGTCAGCACATCCTAATATCGCCTAGCAAACCGTGATGACAGTTGCCCGATTCTGTCCATGCCCGGCCCTGTCCATTGGATGAAGCTTCCTCATGAAGCACCCTCACTGACACACTGGGTCAGTGTCATTTCGGCAGGCGGGTCTACTACTGCCATTTCGGTAGGCGGGTCTACTACTGCCATTTCGGCAGGCGGGTCTATAACAATAAAGACTCAAGTTGGATATCGCCAACCATTGTGTTGCTGCTTTTAGTGACAGCAAAGCCCCTCGGCGAAGCTGCATCTGTATCCTGCTGCTGTCGATCATTCACTCCATTCCATGTGATTAATGCCCAAGGCCACCTTCTTGCCCTTGCTGTTTTTGAGCAGTTACTGGGACGCCTGGGATTGGCAAGAGCCTCTTCTTCTACTACATGGTGTTGCAGCTGCTGCACAGCCCATCACCACCACCCTTCATCCTTTGGGAGCATCTCGAAGATCCTGGCCATATGGTGGGTTACACCCCTACCATATGTCTCAATGACAGGGTGGTTAACTTCGCCAGCGGCCCCGTTTCCCTGCTCTCCCCTGCTAGAGGGGCACCCTAATCCGCCACCCCATCCGACTTCAGAATGTATTCGTTGGGTTCGGCAACTCACCACCAGCATCCAACCAAATCTAGCGGATCAACGGCGCATCAACTTAGTTCCTGGGTAGCTCGCAAGTTGATACCATATGCTGGTTTAGGAGCTGTTTGACACTTTCCTTCCTTTTTCTGCCCCGTCTGGTCACCAGTGGTGCTACACGCGTGAGACGGGCCAGGTCAGGCCTGGCAGGCGCATGGCCTTCAGACTCAAGTTTAAAAATCGCGGTAGGGGCAGTGCAGCACACTAATACACACATACAGACAGTACAACACACATACAGACATGGCAGCCGGTTGGGTGCTGTCTGTGCCATGAAAGGCCGTGGTGTGCCCATTGTCCAGCTGCTCCCTGGGACCTCCCCCGGGACCGTTGGGCCCACTCTGTCCTGGACACCAACAGGTCACCTTGTCCTGTCAGGTGCTTTAAAACTTTATTGTTCTTGTTCTTATTTATCGGGACAGAAATTGCATTTAATTTGCATGTAATGGTTTTACAAATAGAAACTAAAGCAGGAGCAGCCACTTGACGATGAGCGGAAGCTTCCGCTTAAGCAGGTACCCCCCACGGCAGGTACCCCCCACAAACGCAACCCTGCATGCACATGACGGTGACGCGCTAAGCTGCTCTCGTGCAACGTTAATCAAACATTTGACGGCATCTAGCACCGCTGTCCTCGAACCTAACTTGAACGTGTGTGTGAATGCGGTGTGTGCGAGGATGCAGGATAAGATACAGCCTTTCAATCCACCTCTCTACCTCTCACGCGCTGAAGAGATTTTAGGCTGCTATGTCCCCCTGGCGCCTGTCCTTAAGAGCCGTAGCATCCCTCGACAATCTGCGCTATGCCTCTTGCAACATCGTACATAGTCGCCCACGTCCACACCACGCATGTTCAGATGTAGCCAATAACACTCAGCGCAACTGCAAGCGGTTCTAGTTGAACTCATTCGGCTCACAGGAGACTTAGGATCTAGGGGGCTCGCTGTGATACCTACTCCTGCAGAAGGCTTAGAATCCCTTCTAATCGGTTTCAGTGCTGACAGTAAATGTAAAGAGAAAGGAAGCACCCTCAGCGAACCCCAACGCCTTGACCCGTAGCGGCACTACCTCTCCCTCCCTCCCCCGGTTACTGACACAAAGACCTAACGGCCTCCTGCAGACGAAAAAGCCTCCTCCTCCTCCTCCTCCCATCCTGCTACCTTTCTGTATATCGCAATTCTCTCTGACAACTTTTAGAGGACGAGCAGAAAAAACCGTCCGGGTCTTTCAGTGCTTGAATTGTACCAAAAAAGAGAAAAGGGCCCCTGCAGTCGCCAAATATTTCCCCCGATCTTCGAGTTCCCCACACCTCCTCAAACCGTTGGCTCCTCCAAAGTACATATAGAAGCAAAAACAACAACAGACAACAATAGGAAGCGCAAAAAAAACAGAAACAACTCATAAACAGCACAGCTCCTTTTGTGTGTGGACTCTGTACATTTACCGTTGTCCCACAGTTAATAGCCGTCCCACATCCTCAACCGCTGTGCCTTGCTTGCAACCGTACTTCCCTGTCACGACGTGATGTAGGGGAGTGTTGGTGAGCCGGTGCACCGCACGAAACACGGACCTGCGCAAAACACTCCCCGAAGCTGAGCACTACTCACACCCGCTACCTAGAGCAATTCTAGGCGACTTTAGCGACCCCCAGACGAAGGAGCTTCACTCAGTAGACTGGTAAGCTGGCACCAATTCCTGCAGCTGTCTTGTCTGTCCACCATCTGTCTGTCACCTGCCCCTTCTACACATGCATCCACCCATCTATATCTACCTTTCCTCCTATCGAGTCACCTATCTATCTATCTATCTATCCATCTATCTATCTATTTATCTACCTGATCACCAACCTGTATATAAACGTCGTGTTCATATATTATATATACCTGTCGTGTTCAACTTTTCATGGCCTTCAATAACGCCGCCAGCCGCCAAACCTCCAACGCGGATGACGTCTTTCGGTCATTTTGCCGCTTTAATCCCTCCATTGATAACAGGAGCTGCGCCATCGCCAGAGGGACAGACGCACCTTGCGTGCCTCCCCTGTCCTCGTCCTCCTCGTCCTTCGCGTCCGAGTCCTCGTGCTTAAAGCGCTTGGACGCATATCGCCGGCGTGGCGCTGGACCGCCATTCTTAAGCAACCCCGCCCCTCCACGACCTCCTGAAGGGCCTGCTCTTCCCCCTGCCGCCGAGGCGTCTCCCCCTTTCCCTTTACGACCCCCTCTCATGCCCGCTGCCGCCGCCGTTGTCGTCGCTACAATGCCCTTGCAGTCTGTACTAGACTCCAGCTTTGCAGCCGCTGATACGGCAGCAGCAGCCCCTTCCTCACTGCTATTCCCACCCCTTCTCCGCTGTACGACAAGGCGCTCAGGCCTCCCAATCTCGCACTCAAACACCACAAGCTCCGTCACGAGGCCCTTTTGTACGGCACAGCTGCTTTGCATGAGCCCATGCGCGTCCTCCAGGGCCATCCGCAGCCGTTCCGCCACTTGTGCATTGGCTCTCCATTTGCTGCTCTGCAGCCGTGGACCCAAGGAATGCGGCGGGGGCAACGCAGCCGCAATCAATGCATCCAGGCCTGCCCCCCTCCCCCAATCTTGACCCACATCTGCGCCGCTGCTGCCGCCGCTGCTGCCGCCTTCGGCGGCGGTGCTGGCGGCTTTCCCCTCCAGCTGCTCGAGCGCCGCCTCCACCTCCAGCTCCACCCCACCGCGGAAAAGCGACCGCAGGGCCTCGTCGAGTGCCGGCAAGAGGCACCAAAACACTTGAAAACACGAATTGTACCGATGAAGCAGCTCCAATGGTGTGTCGGCAGCGCTGTTGCCTCCGGCCCCGTCGCCGCTGGTAATGCTACTGGAATGTTTTCGTTGGTTGTTGCTGTTGCTGTTGCTGTTGGTGCAACGGTAGCTATCCGCCTGTTCATCATTACCACGATCCACGTCGTACAGTCTCGACGCCAGAGGCCGCTCGTCCACTTCATCCTCGCCAGCTGCCGCGATGCCCTGGTGATCCAATTGCCGTACCACGACAACCAGGTCGCGCTGCTGCTTCTGCATTTCCATACGCACCTGAACGGAACCGGAGGCCCCGACGGGTAGGAGAGGGAAAGAGGCCTTAGGGCACTCGCGGCTTGGATGACATATGAGACGCCGTGTCTTGGGCTATGTGTGGGAACGTCTTCATATCTCCGTGTGTCCCATGGACACCGCCTCGCATGTTTCCCCCTCCTCCCCCACGACCCTCCATTATTATCCCTACCCTTCTACATGTCGTACTCGATTCATAGGGCCCACCTGCTCAGATATTACCATACCTTGGGTAAGCGCGAACACTAAAGTGATCAACAGGGTAAGTTCTCCGCATTACCCGCGACGGAACCGGACTAACTAACCGGGCTAAAGTTTGGCTAAAACACTCCATGGACCCGCAATGACGTATGTCCTGACCCCCACCCACACACCCCACACACACAATAATGATGGCACCCCTGAATCAAAGCCCCCCCCCCCACCTCCACCTCACACACCTGAGACAGCAACAGCACCGCCGTCTCCAGCCCCTCCAGCCCAAGAGCCTGAACTCGCAGGGCCCCACTGCGCTCCGAAACTAAAGATGTACGAGCAATTGCCGCCGCTATGTCGTACCTGCCCGGATGCAAGCGGGGGGCATTGGAAGAGCTCAGACCGAGCATGCTGGCAAGCCAAGGGAGACGGGGTCAAGGCAATTTAAGGTGTATCGCGTGCGGACGGGCTGGCCGTACGGCAAGGCTAGGGTTGCGGAACCGAAACATGCACTAGCAGCAGCAGGAGGGTTTAGCCACCACACGGCAAAGCGACCGACCAACCAACAACCCATGCAACCACCAGCCCTTGGACACGTCGCCAACCCCCCCCTGACCTAGCGACCTCCCCGACCCCTTCCGCATTCTCCCATCCTGTCATCCCCTCGCGGAGAGCGCCAAACAAGCCACCCTGCAGCGTCGCAGCGTCCATCAGCGCCATCCACAGCCAGCAGGCCAGGGCGGCCCCTCCACATCCGCTCCCCACACCCGCAACAGGAGCGCAATCCCGTACCTGCGGCGCGAGGACACGACCAGAAAGCCACTGCGCCCTGTCGGCCTGGCCTCCCCCTCTTCCCCCCTCCCACCGCCGCTGCTGCCACACTCTTCATCGTGCGCTGCGGCGGTGGCAGCAGTGCCATGTGAATTCTCTGCTGCCACCCTCTCCACGCGTTGCTCCGGAACCACGTCCGGGGTAATGGCCAACAGTACGACTCCAGGGACTCCTTCCGGTGGCGGGAACACGGTCTGGAGACCGGGACAGGGGAAGTTGTTGTGTGGAGGGAGATGCTTTTTAGGAGCTTATGTTCATGACACGCACACACACATACATACATACATACATACATACATACATACATACATACATACATACATACATACATACATACATACATACATACATACATACATACATACATACATACATACATACATACACGGGGACACGGGAGGGCAGATGGTAGTCTCCATCCCTGGGTCCGGACGCTCTCCGCCTATATGCTGCTCACCCACCCCGCCTTCCAACCGTGGGCCCTGACGACCGCCAGCCAAGCCGGGCCCCGGCTCGGCGGAAGCGACCTACCCACGGATATCAGCCGGATTGTGGGCGCCCTGGGACACCTACCACCGCTCCGGGATATCGAGACCAGCCCCTTGTCCCCCGGACCGTGGTGCTGGGCAACCGCGTTGTGGGGTAACCCGTTGCTCCCCAATACCGGCGAGGCAGACCCAGACAGTTTGAACCGCCGCCCGGGCCTGGAGGCGCACTTCGTGGGGATCGCTACATGCAGGAAACTGCAAACGGTGGGCGACCTAGTGCGGGTCTGGGACCTAGTGGTGCATACTCGAGTGGCCTCCCTCCCCAGGTCGACCTGGCCCGAATGGGTCAGGACACACCTCGACCCATCAACCCCAGCACCCACGCGGGACAGGTCAGCGACCCTGGCAGCCCTTAAGACGCTACATGGCGCTATCAACCCGGCCTGGCTCGAAGCTGCAAGAGCAGTGGAAACCCAACAGCAACAGCAACCCCAGCCGCAGGCACAGCTGCAGCCACAGCTGCAGCCACAGCCGCAGCCGCAGCCACAGCCGCAGCCACAGCCGCAGCCGCAGCCACAGCCGCAGCCACAGCCGCAGCCACAGCCGCAGCCACAGCCGCAGCC